ATTTGATAGCTTTGATCTTTCTAAATGTTGATGTGACAAAGAGGGTAGATATACTCTCTTTTAGTCACGTGTAAGGGAAGTAAAATCGAAAGTTCAACTATCAAATAAGGATATTTTTTCTAACAATTAATTGCAACATAATTAATATATGATTTATTTGTTCTAATTGTAACACTCTTGCTTTTTAAAAAATATACCTTGCATATTATATGTATCTCAATTTTTTTATTTAGATAAAATGGTTATATATATGGACCAAATATTAGTTAATATTTAATTTATTTTAGATAAATTAATCGGTTATTTAACCAAATCAATGAAGTTCAAACGGTGTTTTTTTAAAAATAAAATTTAGAGATTTTTGAATTTGATTTATACTGCTATTATTAACTAGTACTAGTATAGTGCCAATTCCATGATGCATCAACTAACATGCAGCTTTTCATGTGACTACAAATTCTTTTCATGACTATTTATCTCCTTATTATTCTCCTTGAATTTCGATATTAGCATCCTAAAAAGTCCATATATATAACAATTTCAACATTCATCACAATATTCTAACTCACACTAAATCTACACTTTTATTTTATTTTTTTAACCATGGCAAAACAGCCCACTAGAGTTCTTGTCACTGGAGCTGCTGGTACAATTTTATTTAATTTTTTTTAAAAAAAAATTAACCATTATAATGTTCTAATTTTTTGGTATAATTGTATGAGGTTCTTTTCTTGACATGGATGAGTTACTATTCTATTTCATAGCTTGTGGATTTTGTCTTTGGTATTTGATTTAATTGGGTTGTGTGCCTTGTCTTCAAAGTCTTTTGTTGTTCTTAATTGTGTGAAATTTTCCTTTAAATTATGTATTGTGGTAGCATTTTAACAGTGTCTAATTTCAATTATTTGTGAATTTTATTCTTAATTATTAAATTAATGGAATATTGGGGTTCAATTGAAAAGCCTATTGTTTTGTTGGGTTGTGCATATTTGTCATGGAAGATTGTTACGCATATATGGAGTTTCATGAATATAGAAAAGGATCCCATTACAGTGCTTGTTACTGGTGCTGCAGGCATGTTTAATTTATATTGCATTTATTTTCTATTTTTGTGAACTTTTTATTTGATTTATTTTGTCTTGATGGCAGTGTGATTCAATCTCAGTTCTTCTACTCGTTGTGATATCATGTTGAAGTGTACTGTCATTAGCTGTGTCAAAAATGAACTCAAACATAGATAATCTGTCCAGAATATTAAGGGTTGGACTCAAGATAATTTGAATTGAGTTCAATATCAACTCATTCAAGCCTAACCCCATTTGAAGATAATCTTCAATTGAGTTCAATTCAATTTTTAATTTCAACATGTTTTAAAACTTTTTATTAAGATAATTTCTTATATTGAAGGTATGAATTATTATCTATTTAATATATTTTAGGATTTATCTATCAATTTGTATTTTTTTTAACAAAAATTCTTAGAAATGAAAATTCAAATTGTAAATATAAAAGTTAAATATCAATATGTTAAATTATTGAGATTAATTGGATCAAATTGGACGGATCAAGGTCCAACCCATTTTAGCCCAATCCGATTTCTATTTCTACCCATTTTAATATCTACAATTTCAACACAACCCGACCATTTGACAGCCATAATCATCTCATCTGAGAGTTTAAGATGTTAGAGGATCGAGATCAACTTAGATTCACTTCAAAAAATGAAATGAATTGAATTGAAAATCATGTCAATTGTCTTATATCTGAAAACTAAAATTGTCAAAACCATAATGTTGATTTGAACATGTTGTAACAGGTCAAATTGGCTATGCTCTTGTTCCTATGATCGCGAGAGGAGCCATGTTAGGCCTTGATCAACCTGTTATCATACACATGCTTGATATTGAACCAGCTGCTGAGTCCTTAAAAGGAGTGAAAATGGAATTGATTGATGCAGCTTTTCCTCTTCTCAAAGGTAAAATGCAGCAAGAGATAAAAAGCATTGTGCAACCACTTTTTTTTTACATTGTTAAATTTATTGAATATTATTCTTGCACAGATGTTGTTGCTACCACGAACGTTGTTGAAGCTTGTAAAGGCGTCAATGTTGCTGTTATGGTTGGTGGATTTCCGCGAAAAGAAGGGATGGAAAGAAAGGACGTGATGACGAAAAATGTTTCAATTTACAAAGCACAAGCCTCTGCCTTAGAACAGCATGCTGCCCCTGATTGCAAGGTAAAACAGAATTTTATTATTTCAATTATCTCTGGAACATTTATCAGGTCTAATCGAAGTCTCGAATTGTTGCAGGTTTTGGTTGTTGCTAATCCAGCAAACACTAATGCACTTATTTTGAAAGAATTTGCCCCTTCATTTCCAGCGAAAAACATCACTTGCCTAACAAGGCTTGATCACAACAGAGCTTTAGGTCAGATTTCGGAGAAACTAAACGTTCACGTTGGTGATGTGAAGAATGTGGCAATATGGGGAAATCACTCATCAACTCAGTATCCAGATGTGAATCATGCAACTGTGAAAACCGCTGCTGGAGAAAAGCCTGTCAGAGAACTTGTTGCTAATGATCAATGGTAAATGCTATTGAGTCTTTGCATGTTTCTAGAAAAAATCAAACCAGTACTGATAAGCTTCTGTAAAATATGTTAGGTTGAACACGGAATTCATCACCACAGTGCAACAACGAGGAGCCGCTATCATAAAAGCTCGAAAGCTATCAAGTGCATTATCTGCAGCTAGCTCAGCTTGTGATCATATACATGATTGGGTTCTCGGCACTCCAAAGGTTTAGTATCATCCATTTTATAACACCTCCTGACGATATGACAATAATTTTATCAGTTATGCCAAGGCTCCCCTTCCGTTTTTCTACTTTTTCGTGATCGAGCTAAATATTTGTTCAGGGGACATGGGTTTCAATGGGGGTTTATTCTGATGGATCTTATGGCATTCCAGCTGGTTTAATTTACTCTTTCCCTGTTACTTGTGAAAAAGGAGAATGGTCAATTGTGCAAGGTTAGTTTGTGGTCTCATTTATGATCAATTAGTTTCATCTAATAATCTTTTTTTTTTGTCAAATACTAGAAAAATTGGACAGTAAAAGAGTACATTAGACATATACTTTTTACTTATATAATTAAGGATATTAATAACGTGTTTCTTAAGGAGTATCCTAAAAGTTTTAAAAGATAAAATAATATGAAACGAAGGAAGTATCTATTGTTTGTAGCTTACCTAAAGATCCTCGTTATTGATACAGGTCTAAAGATAGACGAGTTTTCAAGGGCCAAGATGGATGCAACCGCGAAGGAGTTGGCTGAGGAAAAATCCTTAGCGTATTCATGCCTAAACTGAAATCGTGATTAATTCTTATCTATCAAGGGAAATAAACATTGGAAGATGAATGAAATAAATGGAATTTTAGTTTATTTTCACATACTAATATGTTGAATCATCTTTTCACTATTGACAAAATATGATTCCTTGTCTCTAAATTCTTTCACTTTCTACTCTCGTATAATCAAACTACTTTGTCTTATTTGTTGATGTTCAATCTGAAAAGTTACATACTTATGAGTTCTAAGTCTAAGATATCATTAAGAGATCAAAGCATCAAATATTATTTTGGTTAAAATTAAAATATGATGTTTCCTAGCCATCAAATACATCAATGTAGAATCTTATACAAAATCTCAAAATAGGAGAAAGAAACTCATGCAATGTTGGAGTATATAATAATTCTGTTACGGTAAACTAGTGTTATCCACATTTTGGATAAAAATAGGACCAAATAGATTAAATATATTGATTTTATTTGAATTTGGTTTAACATTTTCTTAAAAATGATAATACTTTATTCAACTTTAAATTTGCTAAAAGAACAAAAAGATAAATAAAATCAAACTGGCAAATTACATACATATTTTTTTATAATTATATACATAATATATTATTTTTTATGAACAATTTTAGATATCTTAGATATGTTCTAATAAAAAAATGAATTATGAAAGCAGAAAAGTTTAAAACAAAATGTATTCCGATCAAAAAAAAAAGTCTAAACGCATTTATATTTTTTGTTCCTCCCACTTGGCTTTATGATTTTATTTTTTGTATAATTAATAATTGAATCAAGATAAATAACAAAAGTTATATAATAACAATATTCTATATACGAAGTATTCTCTTTCCATTTTATGATTTGGTTAAATTAAAATTGAGTTTAATCTTAAGTTTAAATTTTCAAATTATATTTAGAATGATAAAAATTAAATTCAACTCATTTAAGTTTGGACGAATTTTAAATCAGCTCATTCATCAGCTCAATTCATTTCAATTCACATTGAGTTGATATGTAACTTAAATTGCCTTATAAAAAATATTATTTGAAATATTTTTAAAAACTTATATCAATTATGAGCAGGTTTAGGGCAAATAATTTTTTCTCAACCCATTCATTTACCATCGTTAGACTTATAAGACCAGTATACTTTTGATCCTTTCAGAGTTGGAGCTTAATGTGCTGTTATTTGATTGTAGCACTACCCAAAATAGTTAACGCTTTGTTATTTGATCTATATGTTGTGGGGTTCTATGGTGCTAATTTTTGCTCATTTTGAGCTCATATAAACATCAAGTTAAATCGAATTTTTTAAATATATCATTACATTTTTAGTATGATTTTCGATATGTATTTTTGTATGTTACAATAGCAAAATAAATTCTATTATACTTTTCCCATTTCACATTATGTGAAATTTTTGAGATGTTTCCTTTAAAAAAATAAATTGATCAAGATATAAATTAAATCTAGTTTTTTATTTTTATTTTTATTAATTATTATTAAATTTATAATTAATAATAAATTCCAATGTTAACTAATGAAGGATGAAAGTTGGATTAAAAAACAATTGAGTTAATTTTTTTTTAAAAAAAACTTTAAAAATTAACTTAATTTGGAACACACAGAGCATATTTATTAATTTTTAATATCAAATAAACATCATAGACGAACAAAATAAAAAATTAGGTCATCACTGTCCACTTTTCAGCAATCAGTAGTGCACCCCCGCACTTCCCTTCCCGCCGACCGCCGCGACCAGTCCAGGTATGGTATTTGATTATTTTTTGATTTCTTGATTTCTGTTTTCTCCGTTTTTTTTCTCCTGTAGCGTATGAATTGTGAAACCGAACCGAATTAACAGAAATCGAGTCGAACTGAAATAATTTGGTTCCATATTCGGTGCAACAAATGCAAGAACAGAAAAAAGAAATCGAAACAGAAGCGAATTACCGAAACAATTCTTTAACGAAATTTTCCTATAACATCACATTAATATGAGATTCTTTTTCTCTTACCATAATTATTTTTTTTGTGGATTTAATTAGGTCATTGGGAGATTTTAAAGTTAAATTATCTCCATTTTACTATTATGTAACATATTAGGTAATCGGAGACTGGAAGTTGTACACTTGATCAACCCCTTATTCTATTATATTTTCTTTTTGGACCAGAAGTTGGGATGTTGACTTCGTCACTTGCACCAGTATTTCTTTTAAAACCATGATATTTTTTTCTTGCAATAATTTATCAGACGAATTAGTTTGTGGAAATTTGAGGACACTCATAATTTTTAGTGTTTTTGTAGAGATCAAATGGATGACTCGATGAAGCAAATACAAGAAAAGCTTATTGAGGTTGAAATCGAAGGTGAAAGTCTTCTATTAGCTCGGCAACAGGTACTTGATGTGCCCTCTTTGTTAAAACCCCCTTTTTAGTTCGAATGTGTAAGAAAACTATGCATAATGTAATGCAGTTAGTTGAAAATGATAGAGTGAGGAATGGGAACAGGGAAGCATTAACTGCACTAAGGAGGAGGGCTAAGACGACAAAAAGTAGCATTCCTACTCCTTTTGACTCAATAATGAGGAATGTTGAATCAAGACCGTTGGTGAAAGAGATTTGTTCAACGTGTGGTAATCATGATTCAAAGGAGAAGACTTGGGTCATGTTCCCAGGAACTGATGTATTTGCCAATATTCCTTTCCATGCTGCTCATACCATTCTGGAGAAAGGTTTTTCTTTCTTACCCAAATTTATGTTATGAATCTTTTTAACAAAGTATGCACCAGTAACATTCTCTATATGAACTTTATACAAAAATAGTTCCTCTGTATTATCTTAATCGAATGAATTATACATGAAAGCATGAGGAAGTCAGGAAGAAGCTTCTATGTATGAAAAATGTGCTATTTCAGAGCGAAGCTTTACCAGAAAAATTGCTTGGCTAATGAGTATAAGCTATTTTAGGGGTAGACAGCCTTGAGAGTTGAGACCTTTTTTCCCTTATCAATTTAGTGGAGATAAAAGTGAATGCAAAGGGTTACAAGTGAGGTTGCTCAACATGAGCTACTTCTAACAAAGAGGGTGGAAGTTTGAATCACCACGGGAGCAAAGTGGAAGGGGCCACTGTTGACTCTTGGGTGGGGTACTAGCCTTGATACAAATGCAACAGACAAGGTTATCTGGAGGTCTGGAATGGGTTTTCTGTCACATTCGAGAAGAAAAAGGAGCGACATTCTTTTGATGATAATGAACCAACCAAGAGAATTGAAATTCAAAAAGTAAAATAGAATCGAGATTAAGAAGACAGAGATTTGGATTCAAGGTCTCCTAGAATGAGAAAATAGGCAACAAACAGTATTAAAGAGCTTTTCACCTCCTAAATATCCATACAGTGAAACAGAGATATAAAGATGAGTAGTAGATTACTTACAAACTAATAACTCAATTTAAGAAGACCTTGATAATCACTAGGAGCATAGGGTTCTCCTTGCTTTTCACATGTTCAATTATTATCTAAAAACTAAGGAACTAACCCCTCTAATGTGTTATTTATTGTCTAAACTGATAATAATTGAGGCCCATAAAATAGATCTTAAAACAAAACAGGAATGCGAAACAAAAAATAATCTGGGATCGACAACTAGGTAGGCAGGCTGTTGGCTAGGCCTTCAGGGCCAGGGCGTAGCCTTTGGCCCTCTGCTTCTCTCTGACCCCTCCCATCTTGCCTCTTGGATCTTCCTTAAGAGTGTCTAGCTTTGTGTTGGCTCTCTGAGAGTCTCTGAACTCATTTTTTGATGGTCTAACAAATATACAAACCCCAGGTTAAGTGTTGTACCATCCTTTATGCTTGCACACTTTATTTCAAGTAGGTTAATCCTTGTAAGCTTCATCTTTGACATCTCGAAATATATTCATCTTCTCAACATCAAATGCAAGTTATGGAGTACTTTCGCTTGTGATGTGGTGATTGATGCTGCCCTCCACTGAGTTAGATCCCTTGGTACCGAGGCCGTTGCCAGGTGCTGAACATGTTCTTACAGAAGAGAGAGAAGTGTGGGGCCAATATGAAGGGTAGTAGAAGACCGATGTCTGAGATGAGACTTATTATTTTCTAGTAATTACCAATTCTATAGCATGATGCTATATAGATTTTGTAATGTAAACTACTTTAAATCAAGTAGCAAGTTTACTGGGCCAAACTTGAGGTACCAAGCAAAGCATGATAACTTGAAACTGTGTAGTTAATTATCGCTTTTATACAAGTGATGGCGTGAAGTTGCCTTTCTTGAGAGTAAATATTCTTATGTCCTTTTTGTATGACACATCAGGGATCACTTGTTGTGCCAGTCCAAACATCAGGGTTGTATATGCTTTGGTATGAAATGAATCTTTATTCTCTACAGGAAACGTTATCCTATCTGTTGGATTTCTTAATTGTTATCTATCATCTTGCTTCATATCGCCTTAACGCCCTCATTCAATTCAAACTATGTAATATTCTTAGCTTGCAGCTGCTATGTTGCCTAACAATATTTTGTGCTTTTTTTCCTTTAGTGAGTAAATAATTTATTAGAAATTACATCCAGGGATGCAGCCTGTATTACTTCCGGTAAAACTTACCACTTCCTCACGAACCTCTCCCAGGCCCATATTTTTTTGCATTCATGGTCATGTGAAACTTAACAATTACAATGTAGATTGCCAGCTATTTAAATTTTCCCATGCTATTTCTTTTGATTGTATGTTTTTGTTATCAAGGCCAACCCATCATGACTTGCCACTTAAGGATGGTCTTATTGAGTGTAGGAAAGGATTTTATGCAAGTTGAAGCACTGGAATGACCATTAGCTTATCCCCCACCCCAAACAAAAAAAAAGTATGACCATTAACTTTAACTGGTGTCTCCCTTTAATTTTCTATATTTTATAATTCATTTGATTTTTATTCTTGCTGAGAACTCTATTGTTTACCTTGGTTCTATACCCTGTTTTCAATTTCCATATTTGAAACACATGATCTGGTTCAAATTGTTGGTTACTTGATGCAGATCAAACTCTACTCGATTACGAAGCTAATAAACTTCAGAGCATTGTAAAGGAGAAGTCTTTATGGATATCAGATAAAGGAGTTCTTGCTGATACGGTTAGTCCAGGTGTCCTCAGATCTATGGTGACCTTAAGTGACAAACCAAAGTAAGTTTTGGTGGCTGCGTTACCCTTCTAATCAGTCTCCTCCTTAATGTTTTTTGCCTTGATGTATATACTTCTTTTTTACCAATCAGGACTGCACGGAATGAATGATCAACTTCAGTAATAATTGCATATGGTGGGTAAATCCTTGTACTCCCTACCTCTTACACGTGCGCAAGCATACCTTAAACACCAGCATCTCTGTATTAACGGAGTATCCATCCACTTGTAGCATTTGCATCTGTCAAGAAACAAGTTGTAGTCTGAAGGTGAATTTATCTTCCTTTGTTGATTAATCAGCTACTCACAGCATATAGCATGAGAGACTCTTTAGGTGCTTTTAGTTTAAAAATTTAAAACTGTAAGAATCAATATTATTGACGGCAGAGTTAGTGTGTCGCTAGCTTAAAGAAATCTTGGTTGGAGGTTAGTCAATTTAGTTTATCTTCCTAAAGTAAATTTGACTTGTAAACCTGAAGGTGTATGCGCCCGTATGGCATGAGAGTTGTTTGTGAAAAAGCTATCAGCAACATTTAAAAATCATATTTTTCATTCATACCATGTTGTGGAGGAGAATCTTTTATTTCAGATAACATATTAAGCTTCTTCGTTACTGTCAGAGTTTTGAATCAATATGTTTCTGTAAATAGTTTAGTCCTTTTTGCTCTCAGTGTGATGGCACATACTTGTTCTGATGATTATCTACTGTCCACACCGCTAACTAATCAGGAATGCGTACTGGTTTTACAGCCTGTGCTAACAGGAACGTAACTGCTGGATTGTTTCTTCATTTCGCCAGATTCCTTTTCGAAAAAGCTGAAGTTATTGCAGATTTGGGTGAAGGTATCAATGTCAATCTGGTGTTCATAGTTGACAAGATTATTTGGTGATCCATGATCAAATTACAAGAAAGGATATAAATTACATTCTCTTAGTTCTGTTAATAACATTTGAATCAATCTTGACAGTAACTTAAATGTGTGTGCCACAGTTGATTGTAAAAATGGACCAGTGTGTACTGACTGATATTTGAAGGGACCTCCAATATTACATGCGTGGGGAAAAAAATACGAATTTCTGAACTGCTTCAGAAAGGGGAGAATTATATTTCTTTTTTAAAGAGGAAGTTCATTGGTATGACTTGGTCTCAGAGAAAATGGTCAACTGTGTCATAACATTGGAGGGGACCTCTATTGGAGATAAATTCATCTATAAATGCACCCAAAGAAGTAGTTTTTAAAACAAATTCTTAAAAGAGCATTTAGCTAAGTTTATAAGTTGGTTCAACTTATTCATTACTAGAATTAGAGTTGGGTTCAAGATAATTTGAATAGGTTTAATCTCAACTTATTCAAACTTTAGTTCATTTTAAAAGAATCTTGAATTGAACTTGATTTAATCTCTAATTTCAATCTGTTAGACTATTTATTTCAATTAGTGTAATGTATGTTTCTATGTTGAAGGGATGAATTACTATCTAATTTTATATTCTAATTAAAATTTATCGATCTATTTGTGACTTATTAAAGTTAGTGGTTATAAAAAAAGTTAAATAACAACATGCTTAAACTTATTGAGATTGAATAAGTCAATTTGATTTTTAGCCTATTTGAACTTGACTCGTTTCAACCCAATGTAAATCTAGGCGAATCATGATCCACGTTGATTTTTGTTTCAACCTAATTTAATATCTTCAATCTCAATCTTTTGCTCATTTGACAAACCTACTAGCATCTTTTGGCTTATATACACGTTCGATAAAACACTTACGTGCTTATGAGCACAAGTCTTAGGTTGGCTACTACTAACAAGTTGTTTTTTAGTTTGATCAAAGATAATTACTATAAAAATAAATTGAATATATTAACGTTTTGGTCTGACAAAGGAAGGTGCAATAATAATGACACCATTGTTGATGTGATTCACATGGCTCTACAAATTTTATGAGACGACAAAATTAGATCATAGGACCACAAAACCATAAAAGTGAGCACACTTTTCATCTTCCAAAAGTGAATGATTGAAGTCGATTGTATTTGTGTGTTGTAATTTTCTTGGCAACTTCTCTAGTGATCAGTATTACTTTTTGTTTCATGGGCCATCACAGCAGCTAGCACCAACCTTTGTTGTCTCTACAAACACATTATATTATTCTTTCTTACAACCTTCTAAGTCCTATGATTCAATTCATCTGAAAATCTTTCGAGGCTTAGTTTACGCTAACTTATTATTTCAAACTCGAACTATGTATACATGCATAATAATAAAAATGTATACAATATTATTCAATTAGATATCTAGACTCTTTGTTTTGCGAGAATGAAATAGTAAAATGAAAAAGTGCAATCGAGGTGTAGTGTAATACAAGGATACTTACCAAAGTGAAAGTAGACAAGCCATGTTTTATATGGTAGTTAATGTTGAGTTTGCGGATGCTAAGACAGATGTACGATTATATCAAATTAGAAATGACCATATTCAGTAATAAAACGTAAGAAGGTCGATTAGGTTAAAAAGGTTTGGACATATTTTCTGTTGGCCCATATATATAGTTGCTTTGGTCTGTAGGTGTGGAACTATGATAAGTGAAGGGGTTAAAAGAGTACGCGATACCCTTAAAATTACATCAGATGAACTTAAAAGACCTTCAAATGCTTGGTATTAATACAGACTTACTCAAAAATACCATATAATTGAATAAAAAGATACATATAGGTGATAGCTATTAGTTGAGGATATGTTTTTGACTCAAATGAAACTTTTTAAAAAAATATTATTATTTATTATCCTTTTTAGTATATATATTTTCAATGTAGTATTTTTTCAATTTTTTTTATTATGATATTAATATAATATGATATGAGTTTAAATTTTAAAAAAGTAAAAATTTCATATAGCTGATTTTAACTTGCTTAAAACTGAGTCGTAGTTATTGTTGTTTCTATTAGCTCATTTGAATTTATTAATTCTAAATCTTGATTTCAAACTAAGTAGTGTTGGATTTTATTTTTTTCTTAGTATTTGGTGAACTTGCATGTAGATACTTGGGTGGGGGGTGGTGGGGGAGGGGGGGCCTGGAAGACTTTGCATGTACTCCCAATAATTTGAAATGTAATTAGTGTTATTTTTTAGCCATCATTAAGAGTTGTGAGATGATGACAAGACACTAAATTAAAGAAACAACGCGTTTGGTTTTTGCTGTGATGATTATGGAAAATTTGCAGCTAACACTTTTTAATATTGCCAGTAAGTAGTTGGTGAGCCATTGCTTTTTCTTTTTTATCATCTTATCATCCAATAATTTTTTAACATTTACGTAACTGATAAAGTTATTGTCACGTGATTAAAAAGTTACACATTCAAGTTATGAAAATCATCTCTTACAGAAATTCAAAATAAGCTATAATAGCGAAAGTTTTAGATCACTGGCGGATGACTCTTTTATAACATTCACAAAAAACAACCACAACTTTAAATTGAAAAAAAAAAAAACCCATCATAATTAGATTTTAGATATTTTGAGTGACAGGTTCATGGAATTTTTTTGTTGAAAAAAATAATCAAATTCAAGCATGTGTTTCAAAAAAATTAAAAAATGCTTTCCACAAAGTTCTCAGTGTCAGTGAGATTTTGTATGTCTCTTTTGTTTGCACATCTAAGCAATGGATACCAATATGGTCCATGGCACTTGGAGCTTAGGTAATTGAGAGCTACTTGAGAGCTGGCTAGGGGGCCATGTTCACTGGTCCCGCTCCATTATAATCCAGTTATCAACACTTAAAATTATCACTCTAAAATTAAAACACGTAAAGTTAAAATTTCATTAACTTCAAATTTATCGTAGTTATATTTATTTTCTTTTATGTGTCTATGGTTGGAAATTGGAAAAGATTCATGTATGTTCTTTAATTTATTTTTGTTGGTTGGAATTGGTTCATTTATGTTACATCGTCTTCATGGTATACAAGTTAAATAAGAGCAACAATATTATTCAAATAAAATGAATTAATTAATAATGTATGAAATACTAAAGGAGTTGGCGTTTGATGAAATTATTGTTCGTAAAGTATAAAGTATCTTCATAAATTAATGATGCTACATAAATGTAACAATAAAGTTCAAATCCTTATACTCTTCAAAAATATCATTTACACCTAATTATAATTTCTTAAAAGCGCCACGATTTATTATGCAAGCAATGAGCCTACCACTTACTATTAATTAATATCATATTTTCCCTCTTTTCGAAGTTTCAAATAATCTAATATACTTCCAAGATATATCACTCGTATCTTCCTTACTCATTTTAATACAGTGGACGGGAGCGATTAAACGAAATTAATTATTTAAATTAAATCGTAATTTATTTTTAAAAAGTTGTCTCTATTTATGGAATGTCTTTTTGTTTTTAATCTTTTCAAAAGAAAATATTGCTGTTTCATAATTAGAATAACTTAATTTTTATTTTTTTCGTTCATAATAAATAATTCATAATCATAAATATTTGACTTCTAAAAAAATAACTATATATTCAATCAAACATTTAATATAAAGGTGTATTATACGACTGACATATGTGAGATGAAATAAATGCGTGTTATAAAAAATTAAACTATTTTGACAGAAGCAACCCAATGAAATTGATTTCACAAATTATTTAAATTTTCTGTATAGTAATATATGCGAATATTTTAATTTTGGTCTTCTAAAAGTAAAGCATTACTATTGTGAGTTGTGACATTATCTGACTTCCGTAGACTTAATGAGTCAACGCTGTCGCAAGCCTCTTTTTCAAACTTAATAATGCGATAAATTAACTTTGATGTAACAATTATTTTTCAACAATAAGTATAACAAAAAAAAGAAAATGAGGAAATTCTCTGCTTTAAAAATAAGTGAGTGAACTTATGATTGATTTTAATTAAAAAATAAATTGACTGCAAAAATATACTCACTGACTCTGACCAAAACGCCAAAAAAACTAAAATAGCTATTGGGTTATTCATCTTTTTCCTACTCAGAGCTCTAACTGACCTTTAGAGATATACTCTGTTATTTTGCTTTTTATCCATTTTAATAATTGAAATTTCACATAAATTTCATATTGATAAGATCTAATTACATTATATATGTATTTTTTTTAAAAAAAATAATACTAAGATCCATTAAATTCAATAGAATTCGAATGCAGCTCAAAACGTTTTGATCATCGCATTGTGATTTTAAATACAACCTTCAACATCTCACGACATTTTGAAATATCGCATACCGATGTATTTAAATAAAAAATTTTGTAATGTTTTTCAAATTATAAAAAAAATTAATAATATAAATTGTGTATTTTTATTAATTTTTTTCTTAATTTATTTATATAATTCAAACTTAACACGTATTTTATAAAAATAAATAAGAAATTCAAATCATATGATATTAGATTTAAAAATATGAAGAATATACTATGATATTCTATGATCTTACCATCTTACACGTGCTACATAAGAATTAAATTTAAAAGTTACTAAAAAATGTAAATCAAACTAAAATAAATAAATAACACAAATAAATTGATAAGACAAAAATAGTTTTTACTTTTTATTCTATATTCTAAACATAATTTAATTAATTTAGATCAATGTTAAAATCCACTATGGTTACTTTTATATTACTTCAAAATGAGAACATGTAAATTGAAGTGTTCAATTTTTATGCATTGAGAGATATTATCTTTGCATCATTCTGCAACATTAATAAAGTTGCACAATGGTTATATATAATTTGAATCTTAAAATTAATATGATAGATTGAACCTTAATTAGGAATGTCATACTTTTTTTTATTTAAAATAATTGATGACAAATTTGTGTATTTATTTTAATCAAATTATTTTATATTCATAGAAATATCTAGGGAATCCCAAATATCTATGATTAGTTTATATTACAAATTATTTTTCTTTCAAAAAATTGTGTTCGATTAAATACTATATATATTAAAAATGAAAAGAATAAAATTTTATTTCGATAACAAACTTACTATTCATCATTTCAAACAAATCAGAATCAAGAAAAAAATAATCAAATTGATTGCCTTCTCTATCTTCCGACACACTTTATTTTTACTCCGACTTTAAGACTCTCCTATCCTACCACCCTTTACACATATCCTTCATCTCCACCTACCATTATAAATAAATATTTTTAAAATAATATATTTTGCTATATATAAAGAATAAAAAAATCACTTGTTTTCAATAAAAATTATTAATCATCGTAACAAATATTAGAAAAATAATAGAAAATATATTTGAAGAAAGAAGATAATGTTGAGGTGTGTAATCGATTTTCTATAAAGAAATATTTCTCATATACATATTAGGGTTAATACAAATAATTCTCTTCAAGATACAACAGAGCTTTTAAATATATATGCAATTATTTTTTAGATTACTTTTAGAGAATTTTTCTATTTATATATTTAACAGATAATTTTTTATAAAAATTATATTATTTCTTAAACAAATAACTTTTCATAATAATTATAACGAATATTTTAAGACCTCTGCGTGTTACAAAATATCCAAAACACTCAAAAGTCTTGTGCGGAAGATAAATGGTCATTAATTTCAGTAACTTACACCACCAATCTCTGAGCAAAGCAGGCTCACAACTGCCTCTAATTATTATTCTCACTACTTTCTCTCTCCCTATTCTCTACTAAAAACACTAACATATACTCCGTCCATTCACAAAGATAAATCTGATTTAATTTAGCACAAAATTTTAAGAGTATTTCAAAGAATTTTGTATCTTCTGATTTTAAATTAAAATTAGATTAATTATACAAAATTGTTTCTTATAGTTATAAACATGTCACATGAAAAATTAAAATTCAACTATTTTCAAAAAAAAAAACTTTTTTAAACAAACTAAAAAGAGAAGGAGTTTTAAACAGAGACAATAAATTTGATTTGTTATATATATTATATACACTAAAATTAACTTGATTTGTTAAAACAAAGAAGTAGAATAAATTATCTATTTTTGGTATAAATATCATCAATACCTCACACAATTGATATACTTATATCATTGAAATGGAACGAGTACTTCATACGTCTTAAATCATGTACATTGTATTCATCTTTCTTTATGCTTTTATTCAAAAGAATATATTAAGATATATCTTTTTAAAAACCATATATAAGAATAAATTTTTTTTAAAAAAACTAAAATTTATTTTTAAAATAATAAACAAATAATTTAATATAGCCATTTATAAAAATTACAATTCATAATTGAAACGTAAGAATAATTAAGATGAACAAAGTTAAATTTTTAAGTTTATTGGTGATTTTTATGTAGCCACTTGAATGTATGATAATTTACTTTTTATATTTTTTTTAAGAACACTCAATTGACAGTAGTTTGGATTAATAATGTGACGGGTTCATTAATTTAGAGGGATTTAATTAGTAATAGGTGAGTAGTGGATTGATTTATAAATTACATTAATAAGTTAAATTATAACAAATAGTTGAGAGCCACGTATTTTAAAAAATATTTAAATAGTTTAATATAAAACTGTTAAATAAGTGGTCAATTTTGAACCAAAAGGTGGATGACAAGGGTATTTTGGACCAATAGGTGGATAGGAAGGACATTTTGGAGTCAATAGGTGGATGAAGGATTATTTTTATACCATTTTTTTAATACTTTAAAGATATTTTAGACACTTTTTTCGTTTATAAAAATTACGATACATAATTTGAATGAATGGAGTATGAAAGAAGAGAGAGAAGGCAATTATTGTAGCGTAAGAAAAAGAAAGGTGACATTATTTGATAAAGAAAATAAATGCGTTTACCTTATTGAGTTTAACTCATTTGAGTTTGTAATTAATGACCAAGTGTTTTCAGCCCTTCTGAATGGCTCTCTGTATGTCCAACACTTCCAAATTAAATATCCTAAGGTCACACTCTTTTATCCCCTACCCCACCACCATGCCCAGCAGATTATTTATTTAATAATTACTAAAATAAATATATATATACATAAAATTTTTACTATACCACAACAACAAATTTTTTTTTATCAATAATTAAGATCGACTATATGAATTTAGTGATAATATTTTTTATTTAAGTTTAACTGATATTCTTATCATATTATTTAAAAATATGAGTCAATCAAATATTGGTATACTATGAGATAAATTGAGACAAGTAAAGAAAGTTTTTTAAAAAAAATAATATTTAAGAACTCTAAAAAAAATCAACAATTCACTTAATATCTAATAAATATGACCGCGTCCTGCTCCTCCAAATTTGTGCAGGTTAATGATAACAATATGACCATGTCCAGCTCATTCATGTTAATATTAAGTCTATTTATTGATTTGACCAATTTTTTATTTTTTTTTAAATTCAAAGTTATCTAAAATTTGATTAATGTTGAATAAATAGATAGTACTTGGTAATCCTTAAATGATCTTGTCAAAATATTTCTTTCAATTTTTTTCTTCAATATTATATGCAATCATAATAACAATTTACAAAATACTATCACTTTTTGATTACTAAACAAACAACGAACTTAGAATGTAGTCACGCTATGACTCAAAATTTAGCTCTTATTTAGTAATAGATTTTGTAGTTGAAAGTTGTGTTCCACGTATATTTTGAGAGTCCGAAGTCTAAAGCGTAAAAAAAAGTTGAAAATTTTTTCAAAAGTGTATATCAAAAATATTTTAAATTAAAATGGTAAAATTACTACATCAGTAGCGTTTTTGCATAATTTCTTTTAAAAGGCAAATCGCTGTAGGGGCAGCGTTTTTGCATTAATTTTTCATATTTTTTTCTGAATTGTCTGCCTTGGCAGCGTTTTCTCAAGAAATGGTTTTTTTATTTTTACATTTTTTAAAGGCAAATCGATGTAGGGCCAGCGTTTTTGCATTCAATTTTTTTTTATTACATTTTTTTAAAAATTAAATTATATATTCATGAATATTATTTCAATTAAAGTGTGTCATATTACATGGGAGAGTCTAGCAATGCTTTCAGAATTTTTTTTCATCGAAGTCGCTTGATAGCTAAATAAAGTAATGCTTTTTTACTTATTAAAATTATTTTTTTATATGCAATATATTTATATTATTATTTTTGTAAGTATGACCAACTTAAAAAAAATTTAAATGCAAACCCGTTGTTCCTGCAGCGACTTTTCTTTAAAGAAAACGTAAAAAAAGAATTCTTGAGAAAAACGCTGCCAAGGCATCGAATTCAGAATTTTTTTTAAAAAAATAATGCAAAAATGTTGCCCGTGCAATGATTTGCCTTTAAAAAAATAAATATACAAAAATGCTACTGGAAGAGTGATTTTCAATTAACAGCGTCAAACTAAATCGCTACTGACATCGCAATTTTATCGTTTTAATTTAAATTTTTTTTGATATATCCTTTTGGAATGGAGGTTGAAATTTTGCGTCAATATTTTAACATATTAGAAAAATTATCAAATTTTATGATCGAATAAAATTTATCAAATTTTATAATCGAATCGAATGATCTAATTCATTCCAAATAGTTCTAAATCGAGTCATAAATCCATATATTATTTTAATTTTAATATTTTTAGAATGAATTAATTTATCCATTTGACACTTGTGCTTTGAATTGAATTAGATAGAGGAGCAATTGGGTAAACAGAGCCGCCTCACATCAGTGGCTACTTATTGTTCTATCTTTCCCTAGCTAACAAACACAATCATATACTAACACTCTGTACACAGACTAAACAATTATTGTAGCCTGAGGAGAAACAAAGATGCTCCGTTTTATATTACTTGTCTACTTTTTTTTTATAAAAATATATTTTTACTATCTATTTCATTTTAATTGTTTTAAATTATTTATCAATTTATGAAATTAAAATTAAAAACAAATATAGGACGGAAGAAAATAGTATTAATGGTCATGAAGGACTATATTTAGTTGTTGTATCTTTGAGTTGTAATGAATGGCTCTCTTTTCATCTCTCACTCCTCCAAGTGTTTTGCCTACTTCTTTTTACACACAATGGAAATAATTTAACTTTTTTTTAAATAACATTAATTTATATACTAAGATCTCCATGTGGCATTGTGTTGAATTTTAAGCCAATATATCCCAACAAAACACCTTTTCACTTTCTCAAACTTTATTATAAGTTCAAAATTAAATACTTAATATTTATACAGCAAGAAAAGCAACAAGTTCCTCATAACCCGACATGTCTCTTTAAAGCCATTATAAAACTTCACACATAAACTCCTCTTTTTTTTTTAATTATTGAACACAAAAAGATAGGGCAAAAAATGCTCTTTCTTTTATTAATATTGTTGTTTTTATTAAGTATACATACATATAAGTCCTATAAAGCAACACCTATTAAAACTCTTCACTGAATGCTGAACAGTAAAGTCTTTAAGCTGCAGCTTTTTCCACTACATAAAATCTTCTTCTACTTAAAGCTGACAGATTTCCTCTCCCATTCCTCCCAAATCCCAACTACAAAATATTCCAAACTTTTTTTTTTCTTCTTCATTTTCAAAAATTCAATTTCCCCACTCTATTTATTTGGCTATCAAAGTGAGGGGAAAAAAAAATTGAGAAAAAATGTTGGACTATGAATGGGAAAATCAATCTAGTTTTATGTTTACAAGTGATCAAAACACTCAAGAAGAAAATGACCAAAATAACAATCAATTTTTGGATCCTCAAGCACATTTTCCTCATATAACAAGTTACCAACACCCGCAGCAGCAGCAACAACAACAATTACAAAATCCGCATTTTCCCCAATTTCAAGCAACACCAAATAACACCCATTTAATTAGCTCCATGTACGATCCACGCGCTTATGGCGTTCCGTACACGCAAACACACGACACATCCATGCTTTCTCTACAACCAACGGGTGGATTTATGGTAGTGCCGAAGAGCGAACCGCAATTTGGAGGCGGAATTCATGATTTTTCAAGTAGCAGTAGTCGGATTGGGTTGAATTTGGGCGGGAGAACTTATTTTGCTTCGTCATCGGAAGATGATTTTGTGAATCGGCTTTACCGGCGGACTCGCGCGGTTGACGCCGGTTCAGTGAACTCGCCCAAGTGTCAAGCTGAAGGGTGCAATGCCGATCTCACTCATGCAAAGCACTACCACCGACGGCACAAAGTGTGTGAGTTTCACTCCAAAGCCTCTACCGTTATCGCCGCCGGTTTGACTCAGCGTTTCTGCCAACAATGCAGCAGGTTATGTTAATAATACATAATTATTCTTAAATATCAGGTTAATTAAATTGATCTGGTATAATTATAATTTTCGAACTAGTTTAGAATAAGAAATCATAGTCAGACAAAATTTACACGAGATTCAACAAATGAACCTCTTCCATCTCATATTTGCGTTGAATTTGTATGAAAAAAATGTATAATACGTACTTAATGATAGATTAATGTGAATTAGGATTTGTTACGTTTGATACGAAGGTGATCAGGTGCAAATATAATGGGAAACTTAAAATGACGAAAAAGCCCTTGGATGTGTTAACGAGGTAATGATTGGGGGGAGTAGAAAAGTGGTACGTTGATCCCGAGGGCAATTATGTCCGTAAATTTATGTCCCCCAATGAGTTTGCTATTCCCCGTTTTGGTGTGTTACGTACTGGTTTGATTTTGCTGCTTATAGTAAACACAACTTTTTTTGTTTTTTCTATTTTGGCTTAATCATTAAAAAGAATCATACTGGGAGTATCAGCTTTTAATCAACACAGAGAAAAAGAGAGTATTTTTAGCAGTACAGATATATACTGTATTTCTCTTTAAAGAGTTAATTTACATGTTAAGTTATATTAAAAAAATATCAGTAAAACAAAGCATTGGTTTTTTGTTTTCATAACAAGAGAATATATCATTCATGCACCATACTAGAAAACACCGAATTAGCTATAAAATTTATCAGTAATCTTCAACTAATTTGTAGCAAAATAGCTCCTGGCTAATTGAATTTTTTAAATAATAATTGCTATGGTTTTTTTTTATATATATATATACACATTTTTATCTGTCACTAATTCTTTATTTTCTAGTAGTTTACTAGAAAATTACATAAATGACAGTTGTAGAAGAATTTACCTACATAGTTTTCCTCATGTAATTGTACGTTAGTATTTAAATGACTTAATATGCACAAAGAGATATTTATAAGATTTGCCATTAAAGTAAAAGGACAATTTATGTCATTTCCTAATTCTTTTTCTTAGGTATGAGTTATTTCGTGAAAAATAGGCCTAACATGAGTGATTTTATTGTTTTAAGTAAATAATTCATTTTTAAATTCAATTGTTTCATGAAAAAATATATATATATATATATATATCTGATCATAATTATATTTTGATAAAAAAACAGGTTTCATGTTCTGTCGGAATTTGATAACGGAAAAAGAAGTTGCCGGAAACGGTTAGCAGATCACAACCGGAGAAGAAGGAAGAATATTCAGCAAGAAAACAACAAAAAGCAGCCTCAGCCTTCATCAAGTAACTTTATTATCTTTTCTTAGTTTTGACATATATCCACGTATTAGAGTTTTACTAATTTTAAGTTTGATATAAACTTTTTTTAATATGTTATTTGTTTTTACGTATATCCATTTATTAGAGTTTGATTAATTCTGAATTCGATATAAATTTCTTTTAATAAGTTCTTTATTTTGATATATATTCACGTATTAGAGTCTGATTAATTCTAAATTCAATATAAACTTCTTTTAGAGTGTGTTTGGTATGAAGGAAAATGTTTTCCATAGAATATGTTTTCCTGGAAAACAAGTAGATTTTGGACTTTTTTTTTCATGTTTGATTGGTGAGTAGAAAATATTTTTCGTGTGTTTGATTTATGAATGAAATTAATTTTAGGGGGGGTGGGGCTGGTAAGGGGGTGGGTAGGGGGCTGGCCAGGTGGGGGGTAGGAATTTAAAAATAAAAATTTGAAGTTGAAAATATTTTTAAAAACAAAATTAATTTTTTGGGGAGGGGTGGGGTTTGGGAGGCTGGTTGGTGGTGGGTGGGTGGGGGTCAGAGATCAAGTGAAAAAATAAAATTTTAAAATTGAAAATATTTTTTTAAAATGGATGTTTTTTCGAGAAAAAAAAATGTAATAAAGTTTTAGAAAATGTTTTTCTTAATTTCGAAGGGAAGTCATTTTCCTTAATTTTGAGGAAAATGAGTTGATTTGGAAAATATTTTCCAAAACTTTTATTTCAACCAAACATGTATGAAAAGCTGGAGGACTTTGTACCATCCATTCCGGTGTGGTTGGATTCTGTTCAACAGCCCAAGGACTTGGAGCAAATGATCTTATGGATCACCCATCCCATCTTTTAGGTTCCATTTGGGCAATATGTATCCCGCTGGGTATGGCTCGTAGTAAACCTCTGTAAGATAAGGAGGATCCTAGGGTAGGTAACCCTTTCACCATTCTTTGTGAATGGTACCTTCCAGTAAGGAAGAAGCCTAAGCATCAATCTTAAATGATTGGCTTTCGACTCCTATTTCCAGGATTGAGTAAGATTGACTTCGATTTCATTCGTTTCAGTATTTCAGTTAGGCCTGGTTATGGAAACTCTTTAAGCATAGGAAACTCCAACTTAAACAGGAACTGGCCTGGAACTATATGTAAGGGCCAATTGGGAGTTTTCACGCCAGGAACCGCTTCGCCCCCTAACTTTGTTCTATTCTATTTGCCTTCTCCAACATTTCCATAAATGCGGCTAGCTCTTTTGCTAACGACTGTACGACCAATCTTGTTGCGCTTGCCTTCACTTAGAAACTCTACGCCCCCTATTAGAGTAAGGCATGCTCTCGAAACATGAGAAAATGAGAACACATTTTTCAGAAAATATTTTCCTTCATACCAAACACGCTCTTAATATATGCTTTATTCTGATGTATATCCACTTATTAGAGTTAGATTAAATAAGTTTTCATCTCTTTTTTTTTGTTGATATATTTATTTTTATTTTTTTTGTGTAGAGTCTCCAGCAGAATCAGGAGCACAATCATCAACAGTGACAGTGGCCATATCACCACCAAGAATTCCAGTGGATGGATTTAGGCAAAGAACATACCAGCAAGTTACAACTTCTTCTTCTTTTCCAATGGGTGACTAAAATATTTTTATTTTTCAATAATTAATTATTAGTATGATTATTATTTCAAACTTATGCTTTAATGGCCATAACAATCTAGTATATGTTAGTACTAATTACATTATAGGAAAGTTAATTTAGATATGAAATTATGATTAATGATGTAATGGAGAGGATCAGGTTAATGTTAACCCTTTCTAGCTTGTGTGCTCCACCTAATTCATCAAATTATTGTTCCATCTTTTTAATTTATTTGTCATTTGAAAAAAAAAACTTTTTTTTAAATTTTTTTTATATAGCATGTTTCAGATCATAAAATTTCGTAATATTTTAGTACATTCTATAAATATTTAATTTAAGCTCACAAAATTCAAAAATCTTCTCTATTTTCTTAAATTTCATTTCAATTCAAAATTACAAAATACAAATTGAAACGGATTAATTGTTTGTATAAAGAAATAAACTTTATCTTATTGTTCATATGCATGCATGTACGTAGACACTGATTGATGTTGAATTGAGAAAGATTGGATAAATATTCCAAATTTTCCTCACTCTTTGATTTGCATTTTGGCCTAATCCGATCCCAATTTGTAGTACGTACGTAATTAATATTATGGGTTAAAGAAATTAAAAACCAAAAAAAAAAAACAGAAAACAGAAAGTGGTTTCTCTTTTGTTATATAGTCATAGGATTTAATTAAATTAATTACCTAACACTCTTAACAAATGTTTCATACCATTCAGAGTAATTAAACATGATTAGCTTGTGATTTTAGTACATTCACTTTGGATTAATAATAATCGATACCCTAATATATTAGATGTGAAATTTACCAAACTACATTTTTAGGACAAGATGTGAAATTTCCAGTTGCATCTAGGGATGTTCGTTCGATTTTTTGTTTTATATTAATTAGTGTGGATTTTTTGGTTTTTAGTATTGAAAAAGTGTAACCTAATTTAAATCAAAATAAATTTAACTTGATATGATTTTTCTCTTTTCGATTCAGTTTGATTAGTCGACTATGTTATTAATTTATAACATGGTAACAAATATAATTTGAAAAAAATAAAATTATATATATATATATATATAATATTCAATTTTTCTTTGGTTGTATTTGATTTTCAAATTCGAAATTAAATCAAAAAATTTCAAACAAATAAAATTATTTAATCCAATAACCAAACAAAAAAGCAAAAAAAAAACCAATTAAAGCTTATTTGATTTTTGGATTTAATCAGCCAATACACGTAACTTCATGGATACCATTTTGTAATAAAAGAAAATTATGGGGGTGAGGGTCCACAAATGAGATTTTTAATGATCAAATTCTACTGAAATAAATAAATAAATCTCTATTTTAATAGCCTTTCACTTTTCCTTTTCAATTTCCTCTTTTCTTTATTGTTTTTTCCTAATAAATGATATATTTCTCAATTTTATTTTTTTTTGGGGGGGGGGGGCATTGTGATGTTGAGGTGGGGTGAATAACTGACTGAACAGCGATATTTTTATAAAAGGAGACATTAATTTAGTATGTATACTATGCTATAATTAATTATATCAACGGTTGTGTATGAAAAGTATTAGTTGGGATACCCAAAAAATATAATGGACCCGAATTATTATTGGCACGCTTAAGTTATTAATAATTTTAATTATTTTTCTCATCGACTATTTGATACTATTTTTATTATATAGTAATTTTAAATTCTTTTTTATTTTCAAATTTTATAATTATTTTTTTTCTAGTTAAATTGGTAATAAACACCTTTTCTTTTTTGGGGGGGGAGGGGGGGTTGGGTGGGTGTATTTTATTTGGCTAAAATAACGAATTTCAACCAATTGTTTTTAAAATTTTGCCCGAAAATAATAGTAATAATCATTACATCAAAATAAGATTAAGATACAACTCAAATTATACAATTAAAATTCAGTATTATGCTAAACTTTTTATTTAGCTGAAATAAAAAAGAATTCTAACCAGTTTGTTTTTTTTTTTTTAAAAAAAAAAAGAAGAATTGATTTGGTTTGACAAAAAAAAAGAAATAGATAGAAATTGCAGATAAAATAGAAATAAAAAAAAGTAGTACACAATCACTCTAATATTTTGGTTGATTGAATCTTTATTTATTTGACTAAAACTAATGAAAATCGGAGTTTTTTCTGGTTGCGGTTTGAAAAAAATGTATAGTATCCAAAATAAATATACATGCATAGTATCAAATAAATATACATGGCATGTAAAGGAGAGATACAATTAATAATTAATAATTTGGGAAAAATTATTCTCTCTACCAAATTGACTTGGAAAAGATGAAATTAACGTTAAAACAACAAGAGTAGGAGAGCATTAATTTTTAAATATTTAATTATTAATTAAGTTAAAAAGATGTTTATTAACAACTTTAAAAAGTGTGGATAACCAAACAGAACTACTCAAAAATTAAGATGAAGGGATAACTTGTATATCTCGATTAATTTTATAAGGTGTTTTTTATTATTCATCAATTATCAATATATATATCAAATAATTATGTCCAATAAAATTCAAACAATGAAAATGTAATTTAAAATCTGCTATTAACTTATCCATGACAAGTAAAATTCTAAATTTATATACTATTTTTTTAAATTATGAAATAAACTAGAAAAATTTCCACTCCTTTCGAATTATAAAAGGCGTAAGTATATTATATAACTTACTCTGCATATTGTATATAAATCAACAGCAGTTGAATTATACTATGATATTCATGTAGTATATGTCAATATTGATAATGTATCACAAAAGAATTGGTTCATTTTCTTAATACCAAGTCAATATAGATATTATATATTTATATGCAATTATATATGGGAGGTTTCATCATTAATAAAACACTACTTAATCCTCTATGATGTCTACATTTTAAACATAAATAATCGGTTTGTTCCCTCAAAAGAAAATACTTTTCGATATTTTGTGATATTCATATGATATATCTAATATTAGTTGAGTATTATTATATAAGACTGATTTATCCCTTTATAAAAAAAAACTCAATTATGTATATAACACACATGGCGTATATGATATAATTACATGGTATCACTAAAATTGATAATTTTTAATTTTAAAGTAGTATATCGTATCTATATTTAAGTAAATGTCAGATAAGACGATATTGATATTTATCTTTTTTTTTGTCATATGATATATTTTTTTAATATACAAAATAGAAGTTTTTTTGGATTTTTTAATACAAATTAATTATATGTACATAATAATACGAAATACTTACTATGGTAAAATAAATTTCAAAATTATATCTTATGATTTTAAGAAAGTGAAAATACATTTCCAATTCAATAATGACTGTCAAAGGTTTATAGAGCAACATGTTTTTTAAGGATAGGATACGAGTTGGGGTCACAAATGAAACTTGGATCTTTCTGTTCTTCAATATCACTAGCCCAACTGAGGGACCAAGAAAGCGGAAAAATCACTTAAATACATATTTTGTTTCGCAATAATCTCTAAAAAATTTCATTATTTTAAAAAAATTGAAAAAAAATACTCTTAGATACATCAATCCTCTTTCACTAATACATTCTTATTTCTCTCTCGAATACATCCCCCTCTAATATATTCCGCTCCTATGTATTTAGGTGTCATATTCCTTCTTTGATACATCCCTCCCTTATGCATCTGAATGTCATATCTCTTCTTTGATGCATCCATTCCCTTTCGGATACATTCCTATTTTGTATGTTTATATGTTCGCACTGATGATTTCCAACACTTCACGATTTCTTGACTTTCAACTTTGTAGAAGTGTATAGTTGGCAGAACTTATTTTCTAATTTTTCAGAAAAAAAATTATTTTTATGTCTTTTTCATATGAGAATTTCATGAAAAATCTTGTTATTTATTGGCTATCTCAACATCCACCACCTTATAAGTGACTAGTCAGGTTTCAATAACAAATCTTTAATATTACATTTAAAAGATTTAAAAACATCATTTAATAAAGGGAACATAATCATCAATTATTATTCTATTCAAATAATAAGATGCACTAACCTCATTTGTAGATTTTTCTAAAGTATATATGTTAGTTATTAAATTGCTTTCTTTATTTTATTTATCTACCGTTTTTATTAAAATTATATGATTCTTAATGTTTGTTATTTCATACAATTAATCTATAAATGACACTATTTTCGAGATTAAAAAATAAACTCTTGCTTAGAATCTTGGCTACAAATATAAATCAATTCATTTCATTTTAATAAAGGGAACAAACATAATTACATCGATTATAGCGTTGCCGCAATTATCTCAATTTTATAAAATAGTTATTGAATCAAAAAGCTTATAATAAAATGTACTCTATGGGTCGTTATCATCGTTGCCCTCAAGCCTCAACAATAACTCTCATCAATGACGATGCCGTAGACACTACCTTTAATAATTAAATAAATCGTCCTATGGCATATGGGATGACGATGAAAATATTTAAAATTAATTTTTTTTTATCAAAATATTAAATATAAAAATATGATTTAACTATTTCATATACAAAATAGAAATGGGAATTACTAATTTTATTAATTACCCCAACCATGACATATCTTACTATTATTATAGCAAACGACCCATTAAGAATGACAAAAAATTTCAAAGTTGATATTTTGGCTAGTGAATTCCAAGTGTCAGAATGATAGAGACTTCAAATATTGATGAATGACACATCGATCTAAATTATAAGTAAGAAAGAATTTTAAAAATAATTATGTGATGGTACAAATTTTTGCATGCACTATTTAATGAGTTGATTTAGTTGATGCTTGATATATAAAGAATTTATTATTACCAATATTATTAATATTGCAGGATAGGTAGATGACTCTTTTGAAGTATATATACATTAATGATCAAATAGACATTTTGACTTTATTAATGACAGTAACATATCTCGTAAATCTGTTACGCTGGCATATTTGTCTTCCACCCAAATTTAAGCACGTAACTCTTTTAAAATTTAAATGTCCATTCAAAAAAATTCGGATCTAAATAAAAATTTAACCATTAAATCCTAGAATAACCCCAAAAAATCAAAAGGCCCAAAATATAAATGTAAAAGGAAGGAAGAATTTGGGAAGAAGGAAGATGTGTCGTAAAAGTAGAAAGGTTATTTTTGAAAAATTTACGACTGAATTAACACTATTATGATAAATTAAAAATGTGTATAATTAATGGCTGGCTCGTCATTATTAACGCACTATAATAAAAATGATCATTAGCGGTGATTGTCGCTCTTTGTATATGTCTCTAAAATATTTAGCGATATAAATTATAATGATACTTAACTAATGTCGGTAAAGACTTTAGCACTCTTTATTAATTTTCCCCACACGAAGTTTATGAATAAGTGATTGTCTGATAATGAGCAAGGAATATCCGTGTTTCTGCTAAACAGGATAGATTGAATTCATAATTTATTAAATGCTTTTTATGAATGCCAGACGCTAAAAATTGTTTTTATTATAGAGACGTGCTTATTAATTGGTGTAACATTGAATAAATTATTCAAGCATTTGCATATTATGCATGTATAGTATTATATGGTTTTTCCAAATAAACTAATAAAAAGTCGAGTAAACTTTACAAAAAGACACGTACTTGCAAAAACTAAAAAGAGAAACAACAAATGAAAAGCACATATGTAGCTTGAAAATAGTGAAGATATATATATATATATATATACCACGTTAGCAGACAACATTGAATGGATGGAAAAAGAATTGTCTGCGGAAAAGTTATAATTAAGATTAAATTGGCTGACTAATAGTAGTAGTATTTTTTTTATATATATATAACATAAGAGCTACACATTTACGTTATTTTCTTGCTTAAATAATACGTTAAAATGAATCGTTTAATAGCTAAATTAGAGATAAATATATATTAAATCTTGCATTGATAATATCACGTGTGTTTAGGAAATAAATTATTTAAATAAAAAATTAATATGATATTTTGCTTTGTCATCTTAAAATATGTATACATTACGAAGGAATCCACATATATAATAAAACAATGAAGAGCAAGCTAGGTAGAATATTGCATGCAAATCAGTGTTGCTTGTAATAATCAAAAGTTGTGATTTGTGAAGCCAAGCAAGCCCACCATGTGGCTTCTCCTTTTTCATAGTTTACAAACCAAGAAAAGTGAAAATAGACACTTGGATATCCACAACTACTAGTACACATAGAGGAAATTTTGTAATTCTAAAATAGTAAATGTATGAATGACGTATCAAAATATTTTTAAATTTTATGATATTAGTTATGATATATTAAAATCGTTAAATTATTATTTTTAAAAAAGTTATTCTTTCTTAAACATGCTATCAAAAGAAAGGTGAGTTGGATATTTTTCGTTATAAAATTATATTGATTAAATAAATTAAATATCTTTTTTTTAATCGCATGTTTTACGTGAATTGAAATATATAAAAATAGGTTTGATTTGCTTCACCTATGAGAATTTCTACCAATTCTTCTTTTATTCATCAAAGCTCATCCTAATCTCCGTCGAGATTACTGTTATCCATTGTAATAGTTCGGCAAAATTTGCTATTCATTTTTTTAATTGTATAAATTTTGTATAATTTGGTCCTTGATGATATAAATGTAAAATTTGTAAATTCGGTTGCTGACTATATAAACAAAGAATTTGTATAATCCAATTGCGGACGATATAAATTCAAAATTTGTATAATTTGGTTGCTGTATAAATATAGAATTTGTATATATGCTTACCCTAGCTAATTCTATATGATGTATGAAAAATTCATGATAAATTATTCTATTTATATATTGACAAGCAAAACATACCAATGAAGTTCCAAAAAATTCTAAATATATAAATAGAGAATTTCTATATACTTATCACGATTGTATTCGCAAGTGAAATATGCAAACTGCATCCTCCATTTAGATATTACCATGTTATCATTTTTGCGAGCGATATACAAACCACAATTTTCATAACAAATAAAACTAAAGCTTTAGAACGTAATTATAAAAACTATAGTATATAACTTTATTATGTCTATCATCCTTCTATTTCGGAAAAAAAAAGTACGTACGTAATTTGAGACAACCCGATCACACAAAAATGGCTACTCCCTTTTTTCAATTTATATTATATGATATATTTTTCGGCTTTTTACTTTTTAAAGTTTAATGTATACTTAATAAGCAGATAATCTTGATTAGCTAGCAGATAAATGTCACTTTATTTCATATCAATCTTCTTAAAATCCCATTAATGCACATAAATATCACTTTATTTACTTAATTCTTACCGATCTTCTTACTAAAACCCCATACTAAAGCAATTCTACTGGAGTATTACTCAAATGACATAATACATAAACGTGCCCTTTAATTTGGCTTCAAATCACATTTATGTCCTTCTACTTTGTATGTGCACAAATAGACACTTAAATTGGTATAAAGTTGAACAAATAGACACATATGTCCTACATGTCATTTTGTGTCCTACATGGTGTCCTACGTGTATTGTGTCATATAGGACTCATTTGTCTTTTTATTTAAAAGTTGGATAGTTAAAGTGTTTGTTTGTGCATTGTGAAAGTTGGACGTCAAAGTTAAAATTTGAAGCCAAATTTAGAGTCTAATATATGTATTATGCTTACTCAAAAGGAGAAAAAAAAACTTTCATATAGATCTAATATTTTCCTAAATGTTTTCCATAAATATAGTATAGATGTCTCATAAATAGCTTCAATGAACCTGGAGAAAAAAAGTTATGAGCTTTAGATACTATGAATTCTTATGGAAGAAGGAATCAAAGGTGCATTCAATTCCTCCTTTAAGAGACTCAACTCATAGAGTGTACAAGTGCAACTTTAGCCCCACCAACCTGGATCGTAGTATAACGGTGTAACTATTTTATGTTTAATCATTAAATTCGAATTCTGGTTATGAAAAGAATAATATCAAAATCTGAATTTTAATTGAAATTTCAATATAGACTATGAAAATCGAATGAAAAAAATAAAATGCAAAACTTTAGCCCCATCCACTACCCCTACCCCCACCAAAGAGACATCTATCGAGTTGTAAGTTCACTTATAGACGAAATCTCCAGCCCCTACCATACAAACCCTATTATATCAACAAAGTTATCCCTACTCTATAACCGTGATGTATACACAAATTAAGTCTTTGTATAATTAGGTATTTAAAAAAAAGACTCATCACGTTTTATACAAATAACTGAAAATACCATTAGATATACCATTTATACTCATAAATGTCGTCTAAAGTTTGAATCGATTAATCTATATAATGGATGTCTTTCTCGTATGAACTACGTACTTAATCATTATCATGTATTGCGAACCCATCGGAGGGGTCTCAAACGTCACCTTGGGAATTTCAATGGCGGGATAAGAAATTTATAACCCCCTTAAACTTTAGGGCATTATCATGAGATTTTTATCGATATAATTTGAAATGCAAGTTGGAAATTCGTGACAATGATATGATTGCTATTTCTACACGATTAAGTCATGCAAGTCCCAATCCAAGTTATAAATACATCAAGAAAGATATTAGGCGAAATTAGATAAGTCAACAACTTTATATTTTTTGGAGGTTTCTTTAATGTTCATCTGAATTCACATCAGATGAGAAATAATGCAACTTACTTAGAATTTTTTATATTTACGATTCAAACTTGAAACTTATGAATTATAAAAGAACAATTTCATCTTCCACAACCAATTGTTTGATGATAACTTAGATAAGAAAATTGAAAGCTAGGTTATGGTTCACCCATAATTATCATCTACTAATTTGTACATATAATATATATATATATTAGAGAGAGTGAACGCTACATTGAGAACTTATTCAGCTAGCTAGCTAGGTAGCATAGGCCATAAAAGTAGTACTCTACTAGTCAAAAGTACAAAAAAAAAAAAACTTACAATTATCCTTAAGGAAGATAATTTCCATAATATTAACATATGAAAAGTTTTTATTTATTTTTTCCTTTTAATTTAACACATGACATCCTTGAGAAGTTTGTACCTACGGGTGGGCGTACGAGGCGATGGTGCACCACCATGATTATTCTTTGGTTTTTGATCATGAGCCGTTGATTCTTCTCTATGACTATGATGATCATGGTTTTGCTGTTTGATTTTGTCGCCACCTGGATATTCTGATCTGCTGCTGCTCATCATGATCCCTTCAGCTGATGGTTTTCTGGAAGAACTTCCACGCCTTGAACTGCTGTTTCTTTCTTCACTTTGACACCAGTCACACACCTCTATTCCCTCTGACAATTCACTATAATAATTGCTACAATACCTGTAATACGAATTCAAAATTTAAATTTTACGAGTTTCAGTTATTAATTGCTATAATATCTGTAATACGAATTCAAAATTTAAATTTTATGAGTTCCAATTCTTTATGCATGGTCTACTACAACTAATTAAGTATCATATAATACTAACGGTTGATCACTCAATCTTAAGGATCTGCGGTTGATTGATCAAAAGACCTTTGTTTTACTCAATTTAAGTTTGTGTGTCGTACTATATAAAATTAACACAAACATAAAAAGTAGAACCAGAAGTAGTTGTGTATCTTTTCTAGTGATAGATAAAATTTCTGACATGACTAAACGGTTCATAGAAAAGTTAGAAACATGACCTAATTACACAAATTAATAATAATAATAATAATAATAAATCATTAATTATTAATCTGTTGAACATCCTGAGAAATAATTAGTACAAAATTGTTGGTAGAATGTTGGTTCCCTCTATGGTGGCGGTGGGTGGACGAGTGTCATGTTTGGTTTGCCACAAAATAAGAAAGTAAAAAAATAAATAAAATGATAGATGGAGTAATAATAATACGGACAGAAAATCAGTCAAAAAGACTCTAATGAAAAGCCTGACTCAAGACGAACCCCAAACTGTGGACTAAAGTTTTACAACAAAACTACTATTTCATGTAGTGAATTGATCATAAAAATTGTGAAAAAATTCATCATGTACATGAATGTGTGCGCCGATTCAAATTCAATAGTTCCGATGCAAATTCAAAAAGTTAAAAAAAAATATCAAAAAATTCAGAACTCATACACTAAAAATTCTGACAATTACTTACGAGTGTTGGTAACGTTGGTGGCACTTGCAGCAGCGGAAGAGCTTTTCCGGGAAGCCAACGTCGCCGCACATGGAACATACCTTCTGAAGATCCACCATTTTTTCTTCTTCTGTTTGTTTTTTTTAGTTTCAAAGCAAAAAAAAGAAAGAGAGAAGCAAATGCCTAAAACAACCAAAACAAAAGCACTTTTGAGTCGGTGTTTGCGCGTCATATCTCATTTATATAGAGGGACACACTCTTGGTTTCTTATTTTATATTAATAAATATAAACTTTTATGTATATTAAATATTGTGGAGCTAGTCTCGATATAATTTAATAATTTTAATTAATATAATAACATATTTAAAATTTAATAAGTTAATTTGATTAATTAAATGTATGATAATTAATGTGAGAGGGATATATATATATATACAGGTAGACCACAGGTAGCTTGCAGTCGTTTTCAGTTAAAGGGATAGAAGATGTGAACCTTAAAACACTCTCGAGATAAAATTACCTCTATACCCTTGTGCTTGACATAAGGGTGTGTTTGGTTAAAAGAAAAGGTTTTCCTAAAAGATATTTTGTTGGGATATAAGGATTGTGATAATACATTTTACTATATATTTATTTTAATCCAATTTTTATCATATATTTTTGTCATTTTCTGTCTGGTACTTTTTCAGGAATAAAGGTTTTGGTTTACGTATTTTGTTTTGAGTAGCCATGTTAACATCAAACCCATCTCCTTTAAAAAATAGTTGATATATAATCTGAATTGATTTTATGAAAGATTTGTAAAAAAAAAATTTAGAAAATTATTTTATCGATTTGATTTGTTGTATATATTTATAATAAAGAAAAGAAAAATTTATTAGACACTAAAATAGGTTTACAAAAATAAATAATTTAATAAAAAATTGATTGGATTGGATTTTGATATGCATTATGCAGCATAACCTTTACCTAACTCATTTTACTCAATACATTTTAACCTAAGTAAATTTAGATTGAGTTAGATTTTGATTCAATTATTATTTTAATTTATTATAATTCGTTTAAATTTAATTAAAATTACTTCAATTACCACCCGTAATTTTGAGATCTTTTAAAGAGTGAGGAACAATTCATTCCACAAGGAATTTTGACTAGAAATTCTATTTTCACCTTCTTCAAGTCATAATAATCAATAGAAAAATGGCGATGAACTCTTTAAATATATTATATCAAACAAGAGGGTGGAACACAACAGTTACATTTTCTCTTATATGAAACAAAATAGACTCAACATATTCCCTCTGTTTATTTTTATTTATCATGTTACATTTTTTGAAAGTTAATTTAATTAATTTTTAAAGTTAAATTAGATTACATTAATTTGAGATTTTCTTAAAAAAATCAAAAAAATATGAAAAATACCATAAATTGTAATTTTTGCATATCGATGTGAAAAAAATACATTTTAAAATGTTAGTCAAAGTTCATATTGTTTGACTTTAAAAATAACAAATAATAGTAGACGGAGAGAATTTTAAAGAGCAATATATTAAATATCAATTTTCTTCAACAAAATATATTAAATATAAATTTTACTAAAATCATTCTTGAATGAATATAATAAATGTAATGTTTTAAAAAGTGACTGTAGATAATAATGGTAAATCAAAACTAAGAGGTAAATTATTTTTTATTTATTAGATTGAACAAATAAAAGACTAACACCTATTTTCAATACAATAATAAGTAAAAAAATAAACACGGGAAGTAATTCATTATACATGGTATTAAAAGCTCGTGTCTGTTGTACTGATGCATTCTCTTTCTCTTGGCTAAAGTATTATTCCTTCTTCATTTTACGGTAACAGCCTAAAATATTTTTGAAATATTAGAAATAATATAAAATTATCTTTCATCTATTTATTGGATTCAAAATGATCTTCTAATCCATTTATTATTTTAAAATATCTTTGTTATTCACCTTTTAGGTTCAAAATTGATCACTTATTTAACGATTTTAAAAATATATTTTTTAATATACTTGACGCTCAACTATTAATTATAATTTAATTTATTAATATAATTTGTAAATCAATCCACTACTCACTCAAAACTAACTAAACGCCACCCAATTAATAAATCAATTATAATATCAAAATCGACATAAACACTACTAAAACACGACGAAATTATAGATTCCTGAATGACATCCTAAATTATTTGAGTCTAAATCGAAGCCCCAATTAAATTTAAGTTGAGCCGCTTATTTAGGAGGACACTTTCAATAGAATTCTCTTTCAAGTTTGAATTCGAAATTTATGATTAAAGGTAAAAAAGTAGTACATCCCGAATTAATTCATGCGCTTTTTTAATATAGTTTTATAAATATTTATAATTTGTTTTAAAACCTTTAATATATTATTTTTTAAAAAAAATTATCTGTGAAGTAACATCACGTAATTGAGATGAAAAAATAATTAAGATGAGCATAGTCGGACTTTTAAGTTTATCAGTAATTTTATTTAGACACTTGAATGTATGATAATATACTTTTATAGCCATTTTCCCCTCAAATATTTAAAAACACATAGGCAGTAGCTTTTCTGTTGTTGCATTAGTAATTTGACGGGTTTACTAATTTGGTGGGTTTAATTAGTAATGAGTGGGTAGTGGATTGATTTATAAATTATACTAATAAGTTAAATTATAACAAATAGTTGAGTGCCACATATTTAAAAAAATATATAAAAATAGTTTAAATTTAAAACCGTTAAATAAGTGGTCAATTTTGAACCCAAAGGTGGATGACACGGGTATTTTGGAGTCAATAGGTGAGTGAGAAGAGTTTTATGGAGCCAATAAGTAGATAGAGGATAATCTTATAACATTCCAATACTTCAAAGATATTTTAAGCCCTTCTCCATTCGATTTATTCGTTAAATTTTGACGTGAGATGATTTTTTTAAAAAAAATATTTTTATTTTAAAATAAAATAGGTAGAATATATTAAAATATTTTGTACTTCCTATATAACTCTAAAATATATCATATACAACATTAAAATTATAAAATTATGCAAAGGAAAAAAAGGCGTGTTTTTAAACTTAAAACAAATAAATTAAAATACGGGCGTAGTATACACAATGAGTTACAAGTTACAACCAAGTTGTTTCCATGAGAATATACATACAACAAACTGTATACTCCATTATTTTACTTACCACATGTAATAACAGGTGTAATCCTTATCTAGTTCATCAAATCAAAAACAATAAATAATATGCTATTCTGATTATTATTTATTTATTTATATGCAGGTTTCTTACCTTGTAGGCTAATAAATCAAATGACTGCCCATACAAGAAAAAGATCTCATCATTAGACTTAACAATATTCTCACATAATAATTACTATATAGTTAACTAAAGAATGACAAAATATAACGTACCACCGATATAAACATTCTAATGTGTAGTACATTCTCTGCCCAAAATAAAAAGAAAATATGCAGTATATCTTGATAGGAAATATTCTTTATTAATAATTCTTACATAATATAAATTGAAAATTAATTTGAGTTATATATAAAAAGTAAATGGTGTATGACGTTGTACTTAATATTATGCAATACGTTAAGGATTTTGATCCTCTATCGATCGAAGAATGTCGATAAATATGTCATTGATCAAAATTACAAGAGGTAATTTAATTAGAATTAGACTTACTTACTATCATAAAAGAGATAAATTATAACTATATCCTGATTTTCAATACTTTTCTCATTTTTGAAGTTATATTTAAAAAACAATCAGCGTATGAATATTAGTTCAAATTATTATTTACATAAAATATAATCAAACATAAATACTGCACTATTATATCTTTAACTTCATTTTCTAAAATTTTATTTTTCAAGCACATAATTAATTGGGAAGAACATGAACACAGATCAGAAGGAGAATGTATACACATAAATGAGAGACATGAACACAGAAAATATTACTGGATTTATTTTAGAGATTTTCCTTAAGATTCTCTTATCACACGAGGCCCCTTAATATTTTGTAAAAAAAAAATTAATTTATGTATTATCGCTACAAAAAAATCATGGCACGGCTTTGCTAAAATAACTCTGATTTAATTAAATTTATAAGAACTTTTTCTAAAAATAAAATAATAATTCGTTTTAATTAAAAATAAATAAATAGTTTGGCTTACAAATAATTGAAAATAACAAAATGATGATAAAGATATACATATAAAAGCTCTTCCCTATATGTGATCAGATCAATACTTGTAAATGAGTTCACGTTTTTCTTTCGTTTTTCAATCTTTTTTTTTTTGGGTTATTGGAAAATGAAATTGCTTTATTTTTTTTGTTTTCTTGCGTTTCTTTCCAAATTTACTTGTTTAAACTTGGGAAAAGGGTCTGATATATCCCTCAACTTTGTCATTTAGAGCTAATATACCCCTTGTTATGAAAGTGGCTTGTATATATCCCTACTTGTAAGTAAATGACTCACATATATCCTTTTCCTCTAACGGAAATGAAAAAATAATAATTTTAATCTAAATTTTTATTATTTTTTTCTAAAAAATATAATCCTATATGAGTAAACTTAATCCTCACCAAACATATTTTTTTTGACTTTTCTTTTGTTTCAATAACTAATTTATAATTATTATTTTGATAATCAAATTTATTTATGTTTCACTAATATTCTTGTAAAACTTATTGTAGATGACCAAATTTTTTCTTCGAATACGAAATTAAATTACAATACACACAAAAAAAATACTTTAATTTTTTTATTTTAAAGTAAGGAATGAAATAAAAAAACAAAATAAGAATAAGAAATTCAAATAATTATAATAAAAGAAGTAAAAAATAATTTATGTATGGAAAAAATTAAAATATACCTTGAACTTTGATAGAACAATCATATATATCCAAATTAATTTTTTAAAAAAATTAGAAGTAATAAATATAAATTCAAAACTATTTTTTAAACTTCCGTTAAATGAAGGGTATATGTGAGCCATTTTGTAACGACAGAGGTATTTGTGAGCCATTTGTATAACGGTAAGGGCATATATGAGCCACTTTTATAACGAGGGGTATATCAGCTCCAAATGACAAAGTTGAGGGGCATATCAGACCCTTTTCCCTTTAAACTTTAAACTGCCGCCTATTCATAAAAAATAAAAAAATACTCTTTCGGTCTACTATTGCTTGTCATGATTTTTAT